AAACTGTCTCTTGGCCTCTGAGACTGACCAGAGGAAAAGGAAAACTGCTGAAAATGTTTAGAGACGTTTTGGAAACTCCCTCGCAAATGCAGATTTTAAAGTTCCCGTGACATTCATATTATTCAAATACAAAAAGAAAATATCTTTATATTTAAGAAACTTGACATAATACACATGATTTTATTCATTTTGTTACATAACTGGCAGATTTTCTTTTGAACTTGGCTCAGCTAAAGTGAAACAGGAAGTGACATCAAAGGGGATCTCTTTAAGAAAAATAACTTTCTGCATGGTCTTTGTTTACTGAAACAATATTATTTGAACTCTGACTTATTTTATTGTGTAAAAGCTTCACATTCACACTGAGATCATTTTTTCTTCCGTCTGTTTTTCGGCATCTAACTCGTTCCACAACTTTTGCGCTATTTCAACAATTCATATATCAAAACGTTCAGCTCATTCATGTGAGGGGTGCTATGACTTTTGGTATTTCAGCTATTTATACTCTTTTTACCTATTTCACTATTTTTAGCCACTTTTTGCCATTGAAAATGAATGGAGCTGTTTTCAACATCCTTAAAATAATTTAAAATGTTTTAAAATCTTTACAGCACCTTTCACATTTTGTTCTGGTCATGCTCTTTCTCACTTTCTTGTGCTAATGTTAGCTACTTTTTGCTAATTTTAGCTTTTTTCAGTTATTTCAGCTAAAATTCTGCTTCTTTCTGCTATTCTTCTGCCTTTTTCTATTTTTCTGCTTTTTCTGTTACTTTGTGTTTTTTATGCTTCTTACAGAGGCTTTCTGCTGTATTCAACTATTTGCTGAAATTTTAACTAATGTTTAGCTGCTATTAGCTAAGGTTAGATTTTCTGAGCTAAATACACATTTTTTGTAGCTATCACAGCTGTTTTCAGCTAAGGTTAGCAAATGTGTGATCCTTATGCTAATTAAATAGTTTCCAGCTACTTTTCAGCTGTTTTACCAAAAATTTCAGCTGTTTTAGTTGTTTTACTACAAATTATCATTTTATGTAATTTTATGCTTTTTTCTGTTTTAGTTATTTTTTAATTATAACTATTTCAACTGGGTGCTATATTATATATTGCTTATTTTATGCTCATTTTAGCTACATTATGCTACTTTAGCTATTCTTCTGCTTTTTTCTACTTTTAATACTTTTCTATTGCTACCTAGTGCTATTTACGCTTATTACAGATGTTTTCAGCTATATTCAGCTATTTTAGCTCTTAGCTTTTAGCTGTTTTATGTTTTCAACTAGATTTGTGCTTCTTTTTACTGTTTGTCTGCAAAGTTAGGGTTTTTTTTTTTTGCTTCTTTCAGCTTCTCAAAGTGAGCTCACATTAACATTTTTCCTTTTAAATATTTTCAGCTCATTTTCAGCATGAAGTGTTCACACTAGCATTTTCACATGAAATGCAATTTCTCTAGTTGATATTATTATTATTATTATTATTATTATTATTATTATTATTAAACTCCAACTCTTTGTCTGTCTGATGGTGACTTGATAAAAGTCATATTTTTCTCTACAGTCTGTGTTGTTAGCCATTCTAGCAACGCTCTGTTTATATTCAGAAACACCCCTTTGACATCACTTCCTGTTGCTTCACATGCAAATATCTCAACAAGCACTCATCTCAGAGGCATGCAATTTGTTTTCTTCAATATATTATTAATGTTATTTTTCCAAAAATGCATTTGTATTTATGACAGAAATCTGATTTCACAGTTAATGTTCTCAGGTGAACCTTACAGAGAAGACTCTTTCTGGATAACCTTTAGCTCTCATGTTGGTGTCGTGGACCTGCTTCAGGATCATCCACGCCTCGTCGTGCTTCCCGTTCTGAAGGGAGGGAAACAAAATGATTAATTAGGACTTTTTCTTTACATACATGCTGCTGTATTATCTTATGTTTACAAACAACATTAATAAAAATGACCAAGTGGGCCTCATGCAAGAACCGTTCGTACGCACAGATTTGTTCTTAAATTGTGCGTACGAGTGATTTAGGAGAATTTGTGGCATTCACCAATGTTTTCATATTCTAAGATTTTTTTCAGATACGAACAAAATTCACGAGTGGTCCAGACCTGTCGTATATTTTACCAGCAGTCAGTCTGCTGTTATCCAGACGGGTTTTTGTCCGGTATTTTTACCTGAGACTTTGAAAAACAGCAACCCAACCAGACATTTAAACAAAGACAATCAGAGACAAGTAAAGTTTAAA